AAAAAAAAAAAAAAAAAAAGCACTCTTATTAAAACTTCTATGTTGCTGTTGTTCTTAAGTGCCATTGAATAGTTCTGACTCATAATTATTCTGTGTAGGGTTTAGGAGAAGCAGCTGGTGGATTTGAACTGCCACCTTGAGGTTCAAACTGATCTTGTGGTCCAGTGCATTGTCCTGTAATGCCACACCAGGACTTCAAAACGTGTCTTCCCTAATTGAAGAAAAGTAATAAGCTTTTCAGAGTCCTGGTGTGGCGCTGTGGCTTTCTGTGCCAGACTGCAGAGCCGTCTGAACTGCAAGTTCAGCAGTTCAAACTCACCAGCTGCTCCTTGGAAACCCTATACAGGGTCACTATGGGTTGGAACCGACTCGATGGCACTCAACAACAACAGTGTGGTGCTGGAGTTCTGGTGTGGCACTGTGGGTTAATACGCCAGACTGCAAAGCCGTTTGAACTGCAAGGTTGGTGGTTCAAGCTCACCAGCAGCTCCTTAGAAACCCTATAGAAGGTCGCTATGAGTTGGAACTGACTCTAAGGCACTTAACAACAACAAAAGTGTGGTGCTATTGGAAAAGCACTGTACTGAAAGGTTGTTTGAACTGTTAGGTTGGTGCTTCAAACTCACCAGCTGCTCTTAGGAATCTGTTTACAGGGTTGCTATGAATCAGAACTGATTCGATGGCACTTAACAACAGGACTTTTAAGCTTTAACAATTGTTGCTGTGTTGTTGTGAAGTGCCATCAAGTCAATTCCGACCTATAGCGACACTGTATAGGGTTTCCAAGGAGCAGCTGGTGAGTTTGAACCACCGACCTTGCAGTTCAAATGACTTTGCTCAGTCTGATGCATTAGCCCACAGCGCCACACCAGGACTCCAAACTATATTCAAACAACTGAAAAAGAAATAAAATCAGCTAGTATATTATTCAGTTTAATGTAAGTAACATTTAGGAATACATATAGGTAAAAAAAAAAATCAAATAGGACACTTTACAATTATGAACAATACTCTGCATCTTATTGTGTGAGTCTTCTTCTTAAGTAGATGAATAATAATCTATTGATAAGAAAGGAACATCTGTTAAATGCATGTAACTCCCACAATCTACAGTTGTTGTTAAGTGCCATCCAGTTGATTCTGACCCTTAGCGAGCCTTTATAGGGTTTCCAAGGAGCAGCTGGTGAGCTTGAAACACCAACCTTGCAGTTCAAACTTTGCAGTCTGACATATTAGCCCACAGCACCATACCCTTGAAGTTAAATAATAGAAATTCCCCAAAGCAGTTAATCTTTAACTAATTTTTCTTTAGAGATCACAGAGAAACCTAAAATTTCTAAGCATTACAGCACCAGTCCCTAGAGAACATCAGGCTTGGTAAAGTGAGGAGTCAGTGCTTTTAAAAAGACAGATTGATTGATAAACAGTGGAAGGAACAATGGGCTTTAAAATAAGAATGATTGCGAGGATGGCCCAGGGATAGGCAGTCTTTTGTTCTGTTATGCATAGGGTTGCTTTGAGTCGAATTGTTGATGGCACCTAACAACAACAATAACATAGCAATTACTTACTAATTCAGTATGACACAGGTGTGATAAAAGTTCTGGCTGGACTTTTACATCAAAACACTAAATATATGGAAAGGGGTACTTAACTCAAGTGATAGGGGCTAAAACCCTGTAACAAATAAAGTTAATGTTCACTTTTTCCCCCATCTATTTTAATGAATATGTTATTTAAAAGCATAGAGCAGAGGTTAGATATTCCAGTGTACTTACTTATCAGTTTTGTGAGCTTGGTCATTGTACTAACTTTGTTAAACCTGAATTTCCCCTTCAAAAATAAAACAAAAAGGGAGCTTAAAAAGATACTCTAGTTATAAGGCTGCTGTTAAAATTCCTACAAGAAATTATATTTTTTAAAAATCTTAGCATGGAGTCCTGGTGTGGCGCTGTGGACTAATGAGTCAGACTGCAAAGTCATTTGAACTATAAGGTCAGTGGTTCAAGTTCACCAGTTTTTCCTTGGAAATCCTATACAGGGTCGCTATGGGTCAGAATCAACTCAATGGCATTTAACAACAACAACACAGGACATACAATCAGAGCAGGATAGACATTAGGAAATTGTTTTTACAGAATTATTATAATAAAAACATACCTAAAAAATTTCAGACTAGAACAAGAACACACTTAAAAGCAATGCCTATGATTCTAATTCATTTTAATATTTTAAAAGGTGAATGTTATGAATGTCAACTTGCAGAAACATATCTATTATAAGTTGTCTGTGTTAGAGGATTCTCTTAATTATGATAGGGACATTCTCACTTACCTTGTCATTTACTACACTCTTCCCATCCCAAGCCCATCCTCTTTTGGTGAAGTAATTAACAGTTGCAAATTCGATTAAGGCAGAGAACACAAATGCATAGCAAACAGCAATAAACCAGTCCATGGCAGTTGCATAAGCCACTTTGGGGAGAGAATTCCGTGCACTGATGCTGAGGGTAGTCATTGTTAGAACAGTTGTTACTCCTGGAACAGAAAGAAAAGATAGGAACCAAAATCATTAGCAGGTTTTCACCACAAGATTGAAGGCTGTTTCGTGTTGTTTTTTTTAAAGTTCTTTTCAGTGCCAATTTTAACCACTTTGAAAAACGAAAACAAAACCTGGGATAAAACAGCACAAAGTTAATTACTTTAAATTGTTCATATATATCTTAAAGTAATGACACTAAAAACACAATCAATTTCACTTATTTTCCATACGAATCACTTTTCCGCCTTTACTTAAATACTGTTGAAGTTACAAAGACTGCAGAAGTAGTTCCTTTGAGGAAAAGTTGGCACTTTAAACTGATTTACTGCCCTGGAATCCTGGTGTGGCGCTGTGGGTTAATGCTCAAGACAGCAAGGTCTGTTTGAACAGAAGGTTGGCGGTTCAAGCTCACCAGTTGCTCCTTGGAAACCCTATACAGGGTCGCTATGAGTCGGAACTGACTCCATAGCACTTCACAACAACAAACTTCCCCAGTAGCACAGTGGATTATGAGCTAGGCTGCTAACCACAGGGTCAGTAGTTCAAATCTACCAGTTGCTGGTCAGAGAAAGTTGAGGCTTTTTATTCCCATAAGGATTTATAACCTCAGAAACCCTATGCAGGGTCCCTATGAGTTGGAACTCACTTAACTGTACTCAACATCAACAACAATGCCTCTTATCATTAACTTGAAAACAAAAACAAAAAGAAACTTCTATAAATCCTTATGTTAATTTGCTTGCCATTTATTTGGATCACATGCTAAGCAAAGACATAGAGATCACTAGGGAACTGCGATTTAGAAGTTCTTCATTCGGAGTAGTTATGAAATTAATGAAATTAATTCTGGATGGCTACCCACTGAAAGGAGCTCTGGTAGCCTAGTAGTTACGAATCGCGCTGCTAACCTTAAGGTCAGCAGTTCGAAACCATCAGCTGTTCCACGGGAGAAATATGACACTTTCTGCTCCAGTAAAGATTAACAACCTCTTAAACCCTGTAAAGGGTTGATATGAGTCGGTTCCGACTCCGCGGCACATAGTCACCACCACCACCCACTGAGGACACGATTTCTTTCTTAATGACGTTTACAATCTATGGGAAACAAAACAAGCAGCTAAAAAAATAAAACCTTAGAAAAATGTAAATCACTACTTTTAAAGAACATTTTATACCTTTGTTGATTTAAAAACCAAGCTGTATTTTGCACTTCATTCCTTTTATGACGCTTCCAGGAAAAATCATAATTACTGAGCAAAAAAGGTGATAATAACTGAGGAGGTAAGCTGCATATCAGTACTTGAAATATCTGCAGTTACCTGTTTTATCAGAGATCTCATATAAATTTAATTATGTGTATGTTGTGGTTGAAGGACATCTAGTTGGTTCCTACTTATAGCGATGTGTACACGGTTTCCGAGGAGCAGCTTGTGTGTTTGAACTGCCAAATTTGTGGTTTGCAGTCCAGTGCTGATCCTAGGCACCACACAAAGAGCCTAATATACATAAGATTAATCTGGGTATCAAAGGAGCTCTGGTAGCGTAGTGGTTACGAATCGGGCTGCTAACCTGAAGGCCGGCAGTTCGAAACAATCAGCAGTTCCGTGGGAGAAAGATGAGGCGTTCTGCTCCCGTAAAGATTTACAGCCTTGGAACACCCCTGCAGGGTCACTATGAGTCGGAACCGACTCCACGATACTTAACAACAACAACAACAACAACAATCTGGGTATCTAATTAAACTGTTGGTTCTGTTTCAGTATATGTAGGATATGAAATCAAACCGGAATGACCTGGTTCAAAGTCCTGACTATAAGTAATATATGGGAACACCATCAGTGGGAATTGACTCTAAGGCAACAGAGTAAACTGTATTATAGGTAAAGGGGGGTTGAAAAAATAAAACAACTGGTTCATTCCAAAACACAAACATCTTCAAAATATAAATAAAAATTTATTTAACATTTAATATTATCTAACATTAACTGACCCCATATGTGTTGTGCTGTTGTAAAATATAGGGTTTTTGAGAAATGATTGCTGAATTTGAACAACTGGCCTTGTGGTTCAAACCAACTACAGCCCCAAATATATATATATAAAATTATATAAGAAGCTATGGTTGTGTAGTTGTTAGAAGTTGGGCTGCTAACCTCAAGGTCAGCAGTTTGAAACTACCAGTTGTTCCTGGGGAGATAGATGAGGCTTTCTGCTCACTTAAAATTTACACCCTCAGAAATCATATGCACAGTCACTATGATTTGGAACTGACCCATGGCACACCTCTGCTACCAACCATATAATTATGTATATGTTATCGTTGTTAAGTGCCTTTGAGTTGACTCTGACCCATAGCATCCCTGTATAAGGTTTCCAAGGAGCAGCTGGGAGCTTGAACCGCCAACCTTACAGCTTAAACGGCTTTGCAATCTGGTGCATTAAGCCACAGCACCACACCAGTACTCCATAATTATGTATATAGAGATCAGTAAATGTGAGAGAAAATTACATGTTAAAGAAAATTTTACTTATGTTTGAAAGGTTTGTATTTTGGAATGAACCTGCTGCTTTTTTTTTTTTCCATCCTCCCCTTCAGTTATAATACAGTTTACGCCATTGCAATAAAGTGAATTCCAACTGACAGTGATCCCAAATGTTACAGACAGGGCTCTGAACCAGCTTATTCTGGTCTGACCCCTGCTGAGAATTTGTATCCATCCTATTTATACTGAATCAGAACCTACAGCTCAGGTAATTCTTACGTTTATATTTGTTGTTGTTGATAGGTGCCATCGAGTCAGTACCAACTCACTGCAACCTTATGCACAGAAGAATGAAACACTGCCCGATTCTGAGCCAACCTCACAATTATTGCCATGCTTGAGTCCATCAATGCTGCCACCTGGCCAATCCATCTCGTTGGGGGTCTTCCTCTTTTTCTCTGACCTGCCATCTTACCAAACATGATATCCATCTCCAGCGACTGCTCCCTACTGACAAAATATCCAAAGTATGTGAGACAAAGTTTGGCCATCTTGGCCTCTAAGGAGCACTCCGGCTGCACTTCTTCCAAAACAGGTCTATTGGTTCTTTTGGAAGCCCATGGCACTTTCAATATTCTCCTTCAACAACAGAACTCAAAGGCCTCAATTCTTCTACGGTCTTCCTTATTCATTGTCCAGTTTTCACATGCATACAAGGTTACTCAAGACACATGGCTTGGGTCAGTCGCACCTTAGTCCTCAAGCTGCAATCTTTGTTCTTCAATACTTTAACAAGGTCTTGTGCAGCAGGTTTGCTTAATGCAATACTTCGTTGGATCTCTTGACTGCTGCTTCCGTGAGTGTTGATAGTTGATCCTATAAGAATGAAGTCCTTGACAACTTCAATCTCTTCTCCATTGATAAGAATATTGTTTACTGGTCCCGTGGTGAGGACTTTTATTTTCTTCACATTGAGATGTAATCCATATCAAAGGCTGTGCACTTTGATGTTCATCAGTAAATGTTTTAAGTCCTCTTCACTTTCAGCAAGCAAGGTTGCATCATCTGCATATC